CGCTGCACTCCGCGGTGGCTGCGGACGCTATGGGCGTCTTCCAGATACTGCTCAGGAATAGAGCCACCAATCTGAATGCTAGAATGCACGACGGCACCACGCCTCTCATACTTGCTGCAAGGTAAATATCACAGAAATCAGTAAGACATCTTATTGTAGTCAACTTAATGTAAGCACTCATTCAGATAACTAAAATCAACATTAAAATATACAAATCTTTTAATCGTTGTATGGCCACCAGGCTGGCGATAGAGGGCATGGTAGAGGACCTAATCAACGCGGACGCGGACATCAACGCGGCGGACAACAGCGGCAAGACTGCGCTGCACTGGGCCGCCGCAGTCAACAATGTGGACGCAGTCAACGTGCTCCTCGTGCACGGCGCCAACAGAGACGCACAGGATGACAAGGTATATAACTAGTAGCGACATCTATCGGAAGGTAGTTGTAGTTTGATGTCATTTAAAAGACTGGAATAAAAATATAAGATCGTGATGATCGTAAAAGCGAGATATAGTCAACAATGAAGTGAGGCAAATATCTATGAAGGAGCTAAGAATTGAAGGATGTTATTGAGGCACTTGTATTAATACTAATGTACGTGTTATAGGACGAGACGCCGCTGTTCCTGGGCGCGCGCGAGGGCTCGTACGGAGCGTGCCGCGCGCTGCTGGACGCGCTGGCTAACCGCGAGATCACCGACCACATGGACCGGCTGCCGCGAGATGTGGCGCAGGAGCGCATGCATGATGACATCGTGCGTCTGCTGGACGACCACTGCCCGCGACCCCAGCACCATCATCTACTGCGTCAGTACTCTCCCCCGCCACTCTCTCTCTCTCACACACACACACACTGCTACTACATCTTATAATGAAAATATAAGATCATGTCTTTCAGATACACTTTGAATGGTTCAAATGAACGTTTTTTCGTTGCTTTGTAACCTTTTATACCAATATGAAATTCTATAAATTTCAATAATAATTGTATTTTCATGTCCACAGCATCTCCCAACCCTCACCCGCAGCTGATCAGCCAGCCGACAGTGATAGCGGGCGCGGGCGGGAAGGGCAAGCCGAAGAAAGCTCGCGCCAAGCCCGGACCTGACAGCCCTCAGGACCAGCCCTACGACAACAACAACATGCATCTCGCGCAGATTCGACGGTACATTCACATTAAAACTATTCATTATATACTAATCTACTACTACCGACTTTAAACTAGGCCTAGGAAAACATTCAGTATATAACTATAGAACTAAAGAAAAAGAAAATTGACAAAAAGTAGGGTAGTCCTAACTTATGTGGAAATTAGTGATCGCAGTATTAATATTTAAGTGTTTGTGCAGGAAACCAAGTGTAAAAAAGAACAACAAGAAGGTGGCGCAGGAAGTGCCGCAGAGTGTGGAGAGCCTCGGCTCCAGCCTCAGCCCAGTCGAATCGCCGCTGCAAAATTTACAGGTACAATACAACGCAATAATTAAGTCTTATTTCAAATTTACACCTTAGAAAATAGCAAAAAAACTTGCTTGAATCATAACACAACATTTATATTTTTATCTTGTTTGTCTTCATATTGACTTACGTAAAACGGAGGAAAACGTAAAATACGTTTAATTTTTAATCCTTCGAGCACAACATCATAAACCATAAAATAAAGATGTGTTTGCCTTAACTCAAACTCAACCTCTAATCTCCATTAAATACTTTTATCTCTATATATATATTATAAATGTGTGTGTGTGTGTGTGTCAGGACTTGCCGTCGCCGTACGACGCGACGTCGCTGTACTCGAACGCTATGGCGCAGTTCCCCGGCATGGAGCAGCTGGTGCAGCACAAGCAGCCGCCCAGCTATGAAGACTGCGTCAAGGTACACCACTCATACTAATTTATATCTTACTAATATTATAAATGCGAATGCTTACATGGATGGATGTTTGTTAGAAGGTATCTCCAGAACGGCTGCATGGATCTCGCTGAAATTTAGCAAAGTAAAACATAGTCCGGGCGAACACATAAGCTATTCATTATAATATTTTTCTTATTTCGAGCGGACGGAGTTGCGGGTGACAACTAGTTAATGATATTAATTGTTTAATGTAACATTATTGTTCGTGTCCTTACAGACGGGTCAGACGCTGCAGTACGGCGGCGGCGCGCTGGGCGCTTCGCTCTCCCCGCCCTACTCCAACCACTCCCCCACCCACAGCAACCACACCACCTCGCCCCACGCATATATTGGTATGTACAATATTTTATAGCTTACTTGACGTATACGTACGTAAATAACGTATGCGTACGTATTTAACGTACCAGTACAATAAAGCTAAAAATCTTTTGTCTCCAGGGTCGCCGTCGCCGGGCAAATCGCGGCCATCGTTGCCGACATCTCCAGCGCACATGGCGGCGCTCCGTCACTCTCACCAACATCAACACCAGCTTGATGCCGCTACGTATTCAGCACTCGCACATCTTAGTGAGTATACTTGCATTTGTAACATGAAATTCCAGTAAATACTTCCTCAGTGTTGTTGCTATGAGTGTTAACTTGTCTGTGTGCAGGTGCGAACGGGCAGCACAACGCGCAGCTGCAGGCGGTGATGACGCACGCGGCGGCGCTGGGCCAGGTGCAGGGACACCATCCTGCGCTCACCAACATGATATCTGGTCAGTATTACATACATAATTTAACCTAAAATAAGATAAGATGAAATAACATGGAGAAATGTATGAGGAAATCTAAAAAAAATATACAACAAACCATAGTAGAAGTGACAATATTGCTTTAAGCACACTAAATGTAAATTATTTATATTCGCATATGGTCAATTTGACCATATTTAGAGCTATTATTAACAAGTCATTTTACTTGTCAGGTATAGGTCTGTACGGTAGCTGGGGTATTGGCGATACGTTCCCGACGCCGTCTCCGGAATCGCCAGACCAGTGGTCATCGCCATCGCCGCAAACGCCGCTAACACAATCGCCACATTCTGATTGGTCGGATCGCGCCGCGCTATCGCCAAACGATATGCAACAGACCAACAAAGGAGCCACTGAAGCCATTTATATATAAATACAACATAACTGTAAGGTTATGCCATTTTTGACCTTGTGTTAATAACCATAAGATTGATATTCATTTTGATATTACATGTAGAACAATCTTAAAATGTTTTAAACATTGTAAAACTTTTTTTTTGTTTTAAGCACTGACTTTAAAATAAATTTGTATTTTTTTGGTGCATATTTAAAAATAAAGGTGTTATTAATGTATTAAAATTATAGTAAAATTTGACTTAGTTATTCTCAGTTGCATGAAATGACATTAAAAAGATTACTTTCGTATTTTTGAATATAATCTGAAGGTGCTGGTGGCTTATGTATTAGACTGATTTGTGTCGCCATCACAAACTAGCACTAGTTCAAAATCTCGATAGGACAAGAATGTATTTGGTGAATCTCCATACTTTTATTTTGGAACACGCTTTATTTGTGTTAAATTTAAAAAAAAGTTAGTGTATAAAAATATAGGAAAAAATGTAACATTAACAATTGACTATAAATTGTTGTTAGTTTCAATTGATTAATTATTTTTTTTATTAATTTAAACTGAATTTTACTTATTTGACAGAAGTAAAATTTTCTGGTTTTTTTTTCTGAGTTTTTTAATCTGTTTTTTTTTTATGATTTTTTCTTTTTTTTCTGATAAAATGGAGTTTCACGAGAATAATGTAATCGGATATGGTAAAATGAATTGTTTTGTTGTTGAATTTTTTTATTATTAGCTTGTTTATATGACAATGTGTTTTGAAACATTTAAAAATGGCGGGAAATCTATGTATTTGATGAGATTGTTTTAAGCGACATGAGCGGATATTATTTATGTGTGATTCCTTAGCTCTAAAACATTTTGTACTTTAGTGTATGTAGATCTTTTTTTTATTTCTAAGCCAGATTGTTTAGGTTAAGTTTTTTTTTTAACTAAGATTGACGTCTGACATAGTCAATAACTTCCTAATTTCTTTTTCAGTGATAATTTTATATATTTATTTAAAAGAACATAACTTTTATTCGAAATCAGCATCAATCTTAGTTTGTTTGATTTTAGGTTATTTTTTCCGCTTTTTTTTAATCATTCCAGTTTTATTCCAAATAAGATTTATGGCGGGAAAATAACAAATAAATACTTTTGTTTTTTAAATAACAATTTCAGTCATCAAATAACGCAGAATTCTATAGTAAGAATTAACTCAATAAAAATACGAAGTGGTCGTTTCGTGATTCTGTGTTTTGGTGGCGGCCATCTTGTTTGTGTGTTTTCCTGCCTTTATTGCTCCAGTATCGTTGTGCACACAAATGTACAACAAAGATCTCATCATTCCATTCTCGCTTTAAAAGAAAAACCCTTGGGACCATTCTATGCTCAATTTGTTACAAAAAATATTCCACGTTTTTTTTAATAATTAATTGTATTATATAATTTCTAAGTATATTTACAAGTTTAAAAAACTTTCGATGTCAGAAAATCTGCGTCTAATATTGTAAATATTTAAATTGTAATCTGTTTCCTTTTTTATATAAAAAATATATTTAACGAGTCCGAACTTGAAAAATGATCTTCGTAGTGTAATTTAGTTTTTAAAATGAAATATATTTTTTAATCTGTGTCATGATTATGTGCCAATGAGCAAAAGTTCAATTGTGAAAAAAAGGTTGCAAGTTTTTTTAAAACTTTGGATGGATTATGGATTGTAAAACTAATAGTATTAAGTAGGATCAATGACATCTATAAATGGATTGGCTATAGGACGTAATATTTTGTGCCTATATGATTTCCGCCATTTTGGCGCTGATGGCAGCGGTTTATAGCGGCGATGTGGATTCGAACTGTCAAGTATTAACAACAGGCGTGTTTGAATCGGAACGGAACTAAAGCTGTCATTTTCAAGAAATCGCCTATCCATTTATAAAGATTGTTGAGTAGGATACATTCGCGTGCTTCCTTTAAATGCATTCTTGAATTTATTGTAAGTTGAGAATCACTTGATGTTAAAAATATTCGATCTTAAAAGTACAAATTTTATTTTGAATGTTATTTGTCCTGTTTTTTGTAATAAGACTTAGTAAAATTTATCACATCTTTGCATTAAAAATATAAAGCCATTTTGCTTAGTGATATTTCGTTGAACAATTTTTTTACTAATATATTTAATTTACTTTATAGATAGACATGAAGATAAATATAAAATCAAACAGAATAGTTTATAATTTTAAATAATTCATTTTATTTTAGCCGTTCCCTAACTGTCAAGGCGAAATTTTGTTTTTTTTTCTCAACAAATTCAGGACAAACAATGTAAAATCAACTTTGGCACATGAAAAAGGAAATTGTAAAACGTGTAAAGCGGGGCACAAAACTTGTAAAGACTTATCAAGTCTCGGTGTGCCTTCAACCTAGCTATAAGTATAGGGACATTGTAATTTAAACACTTCATTAGTTTTTAAATTAATTTACATTATAAGTGCTTGTAAATACGTTTTATAACTATTATTATTTTTATGAAATGCATTTCTTTGTAAGAATCTAAATTTTTTTTTTTTGAGGAAAATCATTATTTTTAATTATTTTCCCCGTAAGTGACAATAAAGGAGTAAATTTTACACAGTTCGTTTTATTAACTTTATATCCTTGAAATTAAAAATCTTACTAATAATATAAATGCGAATGTTTAGATGCTAGTATATTTGAAGGTATCTCCAGAACGGCTGAACGGATCTCGATGAAATTTAGCATACATATAGAACATAATCTGGAAGACACATAGACTACAATTTATATTTTTTTAATTCCATCCGAATAGAGTCGCGGACGACCGCCAGTTATGAACATAATCTTTAAAATATACGGTTCTAATACTATGTAGCACGAACTGGAAACAAGGATCACTTTGGGTGCTTTGGGTGCTCACTGCTTAAGGTGCTTTCTGCTTTTTTCTGGGTAAAGCAACTTGAAAAGCTTTACTGATAAATAACATGAAGTTTTGTATATGAAGCTTTAGTTAAACGGAATAATTGTAGAACGGAATGGGGACACTTTCAAAACTTTTTTTTTTCATATATATGTTGACAGTTAATGTTATTACGTAGTGTGTTTTGTGCGCGTAATAGGTTGGTGGCGCTGTTGTACTACATAACAGATTTATGTCATAAATTAACTGTCGCTCGCGACTCCGTTCGCATATAATTAAAAAATAAGTAGCCTATGTGTTCTTTCAGACTTTATTTTATATGTATACCAAATTTCAACTGTCCCATCCACCTAAACATTCACATTTATAATATTAGTAAGAAGTAAGATTAACTTAACACAAGAAAATATATTAAAAAAGCATGTTTATAAGTTATATATTTTCGAACGAAAACAATCAGATTAATAAAGGTAGGAATCAACATAATTTTACTTACTACCTTCAAATAAAAATATTTAGTTGTCAAATTAAATATTGTTGGCTGGAAACAGTAATGTGAAACTGGATTTTTATTAATTTTTAGCACATGGCAAACAAGTAAGTGTGATTTTATTTGCTTATAGTACCTTTGTTTAGACTCCGTTCGCGCGATACTTAAAATAAACTTAATAAGTAGCTTATGTATTCTAGACTATGTTCTACATATATGACAAAATCCATCAAGATCCCTGCAGCCGTTTTGGAGATTAATCCATCCATCCTTTTAAACTTTCACATTTATAATATTAGATTGAAAACCATTTATTCTACTTTATTACATTTTTACGATGTCTGAGGACGAGAATAGAAGAATTTAGGAATATAAATTAACTACAGTTTAAACTATTGCATTAGGCAGCTACAGGTCCCCCATAATCTAAATGCCTTTTCTCATAATAAACCTTAGAAGTTCCTTATTCCTTGAAAACTATAAACTAAATATCATTGTGAATTGTCCATTTTTATTATTAAATCTTAATTTTTTTATGTGGACAGTGAGTGCGGTAATAACTCGGGGTCCGGTGACGATGTCCTGGTGTGTGTTCGCGGCAACAGCTGTAGTGATCACTCTCACCACGGTGGTGGCCAATGTGGTGGCGCTACTAGCGCTATGGCGGGTCAGCCGGGTGCCTTCACATTATCCTCTCATGAGCCTGGTGACAGCTGATCTGCTGGTAGGGACTACGGTTATGCCTATAGGTGGCGCGAGGGAGCTCTTCGTATTTCATCTAGGTAAAATTTATTTTCTTATTACAATTTTTTATTTGTAACTAGCTGTTGCCCGCGACTCCGCCCTCGTGGAATTATGGACTGTGTATGTGGTCTTCCTGACTATGTTCTACATGTGTGCCAAAATTCATCAAAATCCGTTGAGCCGTTCCGGAGATTCCTTAAAACAAACATCCATCCATCTAAACATTCGCATTTATAATATTAGTAAGAAGTAAGATTAAATAACTTATCAGATAAGACTCTCTGCTCTATATGGAGTACACTGGACGTGCTCGGCTGCACCGCATCCATCCTGTCTCTATGCGCGTTGGGCTGGGAGCGGTATCGCGCTGTGACGTCACCGCTTGCGCAACGCCGCGACTCCGCCAAATATCTGGCAATGTTGGTGTGGCCTGTCGCGACTATTGTTGCGTTACTAACTGCCTTCATACCAACTACAGAACATCATGATCCTGGGAAAGCTCAGAAAGCTTGTACTGTCAATATTAATGTCGGGTAAGTACAGTAGCAGTGGTAGAGCCCGTTTTAACATTTTCGCACGAATTGGCCCGACTCGCCCGGTGAAATACCACGACCACATAGAAGACAGGCATGAAGTGGAAGCTATTCCGCGTTTCGTCTGATGAGTGTGCGTCCCGGAGGCCTAATTTAGCCCTCTTTCCCTTCTCACCCTTTTTCATATAAGGAAACGATGGGAAGTGGAAGTGGACTTTACGGATGAGAGGATGCATAGGAAGGGAAAATATTTTCTTTCTGTGCATCCTTTCCTCCGTCGATTAAAGGTAGGCAACGCATATGCAATTGCGTATGTTTATGGGCAACGGTCACTTCGCTATATCAGGGATTTCAGGTGGCCGCTCGCTCGTTTGCCACCTTATGGTATAAAAAAAGTGATAATTTTTAAATATGAAGCAAAATGTATAAGTGATCTGGACAAGGTGAAGAATCTATGCAGATTGCAGGTCAATTTTGTAATTATGACTATCTTGGCGTATGCGTATGTCCATTGTCTTTCTTTGTTAAAAGAGCAAAAATTCAACTCTGGTTTAACATTTAACTATATTAACATTCACTCGATTGTTTTAATTCTATTTTAACAATAACAATAGACGTGTTTGAGAGTCTTCAATACAAATAAGAAGGGTTAACTTACCTATATAAAATGTATATTTCATTAAAAGTGCTTGTTTGTTATGCTAAGATAAATCTATAGTTTTAATATTCCAGTACTAAATTTGATAGATGTTTATAACCTTCAGATACGTGTTCGGGAGCATCATGTTATCATTCTACACGCCGGCAGTGGTAATGATCGTATTCTACACGAAGATAATCCGCAGTCTTGCCGCGCCGCCGCCAATACGCGCACACCGAGGTCGCTCACCAGTGCCTGAAGTTACCTCAATCGTATGTATTGAATCAATCGTATCAATTGTATGGAACATACAAAATAAGTCAAACTAGATGTCGCCCGCAACTTTATCCGCGTGGAATTAAAAAAAAACGTAATTAGTAGTTTATGTGTTATTCCAGACTATCTTCACAGTTTTTGCGAGATCTATGAAGCCGTTCTAGACATACCTTTTAACAAACATCCTTCCATCCATCCATCTAGACTATCGCATTTATAATATTAGTAAGATTGAAAGTAAATAATTAAAACTGCATAACAAAAAACTGTAAAACAGTGATCTACAGGTCTACGATTTATGTACAGCAGACCAATAATAAATGTAGTTACTAATAAATTCCTTTAATTTTAGGACGTAAGGCAACTACCGAATCTAAACATGCTTACACGTGCTGCCGCCCTCATTCCGCCAGATGCTATACTGTAAGAATTCATTCTTCCTACCATTTATAATTACGCTATCATGAAGACTTTAAAATGTGTTTCTTAGCTATTATAGTTTCATATATACGTTTGTATTGTAAATTATTTCATATTCTTGTTAAAGATAAAGTACTGACTTAAAGTTTGGTCATTGAATTTAAATATTGATGTTTGCAGAGATAACTTTTCAGTCCGTCAACGGCGCGCCACAATGACCATACTGAAGCTGATGACACTCTTCCTAGTGTGCTGGACACCGTTCTTTGTCATGCTCCCAACTGGTAAGAAAATATTTGTTACACTAATTCAATAAAATTAGCATTCCTAGTTTTAGAGATTATTGTTAGAATCCTTTGGCGCGAATGGCGCGCTTTTTCCTACAAAGTCAAGCGTCAGAATGATTAGTGAGGGAACATAAACGTCGACATTTTAGTAAGGCTAGTGTTGAGTCAATACCTGTGCATTTTCGGATTTTCTTCTTTACACTAGTTATTATAAATTGGTATCAACCAAGATGTGATGCTAATTTTCGCATTATTAGCATCCCAGGGGTTTTACCCCTTTTCATTTGCGCGACTCATGTTACTATGACCAATGTATCATTTCCATTGATCTACGAGTGAAAAAGCCCATTTAGACGATTCCATTTTCTTGTACCAGAGCAATAATTGAATGAAATAAATTGCGCGCATAATTTACCTTTAATAATTTTAAGCAACTGTTTTCGACGATACATGACATTTATTGCTTCAACATTGTATGCAACAGGCAAGCAACTTGCATTGCGGGCAGGTCTTAACGACAAAGCATATATAAAAATTCTGGTCTGGTAAAATCTGAACGGCGCATATGGGTATGCGTCGTCTTAAACAACCAATTTGCCTTGCGACTTAAACTTATCTTTACGTTGTAGATGCGCTGTGTACATGCGTATCAGACTCTGTTTGGATGCTGTGTACGTGGCTGGGCTACATGAACTCTGCCATCAATCCAATGGTGTACGCGGTCGCCTCTCCAAGGGTCCGGAAAGCATTGCTCGGCTCCCATACAAGCACAACACAGACAGAACGATGATGACAGGTTGACGAAAGAAGGTTAGTTTGCAAATATACTAGGCTTGATAGTCTAAATAGGGAAATAAGAAATTGTAGGAATACAAATTTTTCAGTTTACTTAACCTCAAATACTCGTAAATAAAAAACAAATCTTTTAAAATAAACTTTATTTATATACATTCTATCATTTTATTCTTTGGTACAAAAACTACCCATTCGAATCGTGTGGTTTCGAAAATATTTTATTTTAAATTGCACTCGAAAAATACTGCGTTTTATTTCAAAGGAATGGTTTCAAAATATTATAGGAATTTGTATAAATAATCAACAAATTATTTACAACTTAGTTTATAAACTTTCAAATAGAATAAAGAAATAAATCAACAACCTATAACTAATTTGTGCAACAATTTTTCTATAAATAACTAATTTATTTTTAAAATTATTTCTTATAGTAAACAACATTAATTGATCTGCTTAATAGCAATAGAATAAACAAAGAAACATGTTTCAACAATACGCCAAATATTTTTAAATCTGTACATTAGTAACGAAAATAAATAAATAGTAATTTTTAAGAATCTTAAGAAAATAAAGTGCAAAATTTTAAATTAATAGGTTTTCAAACATTTCATGTATTCTCAAAATATTATGCATTTGTAATTATTTTACTTTATACTGTGGAGATATCTTTTTTTATAAAATAAGTTCAACACTGGTGAACATCGTTGGCAGAACGGGCGAAGCTAGTGTCTCAAAATGGCGGCTACAAACAGAACAGCTGTTGCGAGGTATGGCGGACGTATAGTTGCCGCGCCGCTGCCAAAGTCCCGCGCGTCCGGGGAACAAGTCTTGCAAGTGCATCGCCCCGACAGACAGTATCCTGGCTCGTCTTCTTCTGATACACATTCCTGGCAAAAATAGAGTGATATTTATTCATTGTTAGTTTTTAAATTATAAAACTTTTATGACGATTGTGATATTGTTTATATTGTGTTATAAGTTTAGCTTAATATCAAAAGATGTGTTAGTTAGTTGATTTATAATATTCCTTGAATTAAACGTTAAATACATAACTCTGTGATCTATATTGTGATATGTAGTTTTTAAGACTCCTTCAATTGTTCTTATCTCTGTCTTTTGTTTTCTTATTCAGTTTTCAGTTTTTCGTTCACCCAACCTTTGGGATCCTTGATCGTATACAATACTTCTAATTTAAACATATTTCTATTTAGAATTGAACAATGGAATAGGAATATATGTAGAAAATTTTACATTACTGACATTAATGAAATTATAGATTTGTAAATTTATTTACTTTTATTATGATGCTATTAAAAGACTAAAACAATTACAATTTTTTATTCAAACCGAATTGTGTTGAATCTTTTTGGAACGCAATTGTCTTAGAGGATTTTCTATTATTTGATAATATAACCTACAAGATCTTAATGTACAAAGGAAACATAATGTTTGTGTGTACCTCATCCCTCCTGCACTCCTGTCCGGGGCGGCGGCGGTGCCAGCAGTGCTGTGGTGTGCCGGCCGCGTGCGCGCTGTAGGCACACGTACACGCCCCGCCCAGGCACAGCGCCGCGCCCGGCGACCGCGCGTCCTTCGTGCCAGACAGACTGTCGCACTGAACGTCGTATACGCACGGATCGTTCAATGCTTTTACCGCTGTAGACAAACGTTAAGAAATATACCATAGCAGCAATTCCATCTGCCAACTAATCACATTGATAAGGAGGAATTTTTCTAATGTTATAATAGCTCACATTCTACACAGGAGTTGGTCTCCTGGTGCGCGACCCAGTTGTCCCGGCAGCGGCAGGTGCCCCGGCACTGTAAGCCTGCGCCAGCACACTGCAGCTCGTCCTCGCACTCCTCGCCCAGAGTCGCGTCCCGTACGCATCTAAAGATAGCATAGACCAGATCAATATTAAGTCATTTAGCCACCGTGGTTACTGGTAAGAGTTACAAATAATATTAAAAAGTTAACTAATGAATAATCGTACCTCGTGCCATTATCCCTTGGGCTGTACTGTAATTGGCACGTGCAATATCCCCGCACGCAGAAGGCCTGACGTTCGGTGCCATGTTCGCCCAGGAAACAGTTCTGGTCTACAACGCACCGCTCGCCGATCACTGGAATCGAACAACGATTCTAATATGAAAATTGAAACCGAACATTGTGCTGCTAATAAAAAGCAAAATTAACTTTTGAAGACAAATAGCAGTTTAGTATGAAAAAGTTTTCGCGTGAACAATAACTAACTTTGCTGTTAGTAACACTGACAAAGTACATTGTGTCATAACTTGCCTGCAGTTTCATAGCAGCGGTCGTCTTCGAGATGCGCATTGGGTGCGCACGCGCAGACGCTGTCAGCGCACTCGGAATGCACGCCCATGGTGGAGTGGCACTGGATGTGTTGCACGCATTCTTCGCCCATACGCGCCTCTGTACAGATAAAAACAAAAATCAACTAAATCCTAAAAACAGAGAACAGACGTTGTAACAGAAAATGATTATAAAAATGGATAATTTATCGTAATTTTTTTTTCAGAAACCTAACCTGGAATACAGCAACAAGTTATCTATGGATTGAACTAACCAGATCAATTATGGATATATAATTGGCTTTAACTAGAAGGTGTTTAACAAAACAAAGTAAATCTTAGTTACCCTTCAAGCAGCCCTTGTGAGTGCTATTCACAGCTGCGTATACGAATCCATCCTTGCAGACGCAGTAGCTACTCTGCCGACAGAACGCATTGTCAGGACAGTCCATGTCCGCGTGACAAACATTGCCTGTGCGCCCTGCAATTAATATACCCAACATAAATAAATAATTTGTAATATTAGAAAGGAATTTTTCCGTACTGAGCTTCCGTATTTAAATAATAAGTACAGTACTGAAAAATTCCTTTTGAATGTTACAAATTATTACCTTTCAATCATTAAAGAATTGAAGAATAGACACATTAAAATTACTGCCTATGAGGACGTCAACATGTGATTGTTGTGAACAGACAGACGGATGGGCTGTGAAATTATCTAACAATGGATGATGACGTAAGCAGGGAAGTGTTACATGTATTGTTGATTCTGTTGCTAACTTGCTGAAGTATGTAAATATTTCGCGCCATAACGTAATCGATTTAAGACATGTCATTCGGTCATATTTTGCACAGAGTAAACAAGCTACAAAACACGTTGGGGCACGAACATAAATTTCCAAGTACAGCATATTTTAGTTAATTTTTATGCGTAATTTATAGATTTTTAGTGTTGAAAATTTATTAATTAGTTATTACTATTTTTTTTAATTATTATACGATGGCAATCAAGTAAGCGGTCACATGAATTATTAGAACTAGCAAAGCTACCGCTACCCATAGACATCTGCAATTGCCTACCTTTAATGGACAGAGTATGTACTGAAAGAGGACATTTTCTCTTCATGAACTCCTCTCATTATTATAAGAAAAAGACAGGAAGAGAACGTGGACTAAATTAGACTCCAGCACACTTCCTGAATCTCTCACATTTATCGGAATGACTTTTCAATTCTTTAATCCATTTTAAACAGACGCGGTAGTTACGACAAGTAACTACCGCAAACATAAATCTAATTCCAGTGCTTGTTTGATTTAAGCAAGATAATGTTTATCAGTATAAGTGTGGTTTACAATTGTTTACATTGGATGTTGACTAAGCATACCTTAAGGCTTAAGGTTCTTCAATCAATCATGTTCAAGGTTGTTACTAATTTTACTTTCTGTTCTTAAAACTATTTACTGGTACTTGAGACATGTCATCATCAGCTCACTATACGTCCCCACTGAGGGGCTCTGAGCCTACCCAAGCACACGTTTGACTAGGCCATAGTCAACCACGCTGACCCAGTGCGGGTTGTTTGACTTCAAATTAAAAGATCTTGTCTTTGAACTTCTTCTCAGATATGTGCAGGTTGCATCACGATGTATTCCTTCACCGTAAGAACGTCAAATACATGTAAATATGTTAATCGGCAATCGAAAAACACATTGGTACATGACGGGATTCGAACCCAGGACATGCTATCCTTTTCATTTTGTTTGACAAAATGTTTGAAAAAACAACATGTATTATTTTTTTTTCCAGTATTACTTTTACTTTTACAGTAATTATTTTTATCCAGTATTACTTTTTTCCATGGTGATGCAGAAGAACTAATAATAATAAGTAACTTTAATAGTTCAAAAACATTTTAATGTTATCGATAAAGCATTGGGTCTCATAATTTCCGTGTTATAAAGGTGGTCGGCCCAGTTTTGTGCCCTATTGTCCGAGTGTAAAGAATCGATGTATCGGCTCGTTGATTGAATCGATAGGGTCAAATCGATTCGATTATAATAAAGCAGGTGAAACTACGGCCTAATTTATTCAGAAATTGGGTGCTTTCGATCTTTCATTAAAATTATTCAAATTATTACGGTTTCAACACCAACTCACTGTCGCACTCAGAGAACTGGATATTAAACAAGTTTTTAAGAGTATTAGTGTCTTAGTGTCTATATCACCGTCTGAGTGTGGCAGCTACTTTACTAATTTTTACTTCCTAATCCTTTTATTTACTTGTCATTCCAGTTGTAGTAGACAATTTACTAAATGTAACACATCTATATTTTCGATTATTTTAGTGTACCGTTATGATTCTGCGGCTTAGATGCTATGGTTAATCGAGAAAATCGTCTCCGTGACGTCACAGATCATTGAACAAAATTTACCAAAGAGCAATAAAAATTTGTAGGTAAATAAGATTTTCGCTATGGGCATACTTTTTTTTAATGCTACATCAAATGTATTTTACAGCCAGTAGTAAATCGAAATGACATTATTTTTACAATAGCATTTATTTAGGTTACTTACTAAGAGTAAAGTAAGAAGTTTTCACTGTTTGAAATTTTAATTGCAAAAACGGAAAAACAAAACCTAAAAAGGAATATTAAACGTACGCTAGTACGGCTATAAGTGTTGTAAATATTTCAGTTGTGTTTTATTTACATGAGTTACTATAAGGTGTAAGACGTCCTATATTCGGTTCCGATAAGGTAATCATGTAGTCGTTGTTTGACCCAGTTAGTAAAAAGGCAGGTCGTGTGAGTTGCGTCAAATGTCGTAAATATAGTTACGAACAAAGAGTACGAAGAAATATGGTTACTGAGTACTTCAAATTTTACTCCTATTTTAAAATATGTTAAATTATGGTTAGAAGCCAAAACAGTATATGAAATATTATATGGTCTGACTACGTTTATTCTTTGACAAAACACTGTCAGTTTTCCGCCATTAGGCAATACTTTAATTAAGAGTTAATCATATTTAAAATAATTATAGTAGTAGACTTAGTCTCTAGTGATCTTTAGAATATTCTATTTCAATCTGATTAAATAACATCTAGGTAATAAATAAATCTACTATGTTCTGTTACGTAATGTCAAATATCTGATTTCATTGGTTTTCGCGGTAAAAATACGTTACATTGTCTATGAAAAAGGTGTTGCCATGTGAAAATTAAACATCATTTATCTTTATTAATTAATATTAGTGTATAGATCACGTTCATAGGAACATTGCAATTTTGTTTTTGAATAAGTTTTATGTTTCTCCGGTTTGAACTTCTTAACTGTCAAATTAGTGTCAAAGATTATGCATCCTATAGATAGGAACATCCATTAATGAAAATCAAAACTTACTTTTCTCTGGACCCTGAGCTAGGGCGA